GTAATAAAGTATCATTGGTTCTTAAACAAACAAAGTGGCTTTCAAATTGTAGAGTCATTTTTTTATGAACACGTTGGGAGCAATTCCATGCTCATTCTAAATATTATCTTTAAATGTGTGGTACAAGTATTATAATTAGAGCTTTAATGCACCCTCAATGATGTATGCATTTTTACAAAATTATCTTTCATGAACACCTGAGAAGCTTCTTGTGCCTTTAGGCTCAATCGTTGGCTAAAGTAAAGATAGTCTGTGGTGTAATGTCTCTGAAATTATTATTTGTTCTACTCATCCTTTCATCCATCCATCCATTTAGAGAATATCGTAATGAGTAAGGCATCGTTCTAGGTACTTAACATGCATCAATAAATAAAACAGACAGTTAAGTCTCTGGTTTTGTGACATCTATCTTCTGATGAGGAAAGGAAGCAAACAATCAGCAAATAGAAGTTGTTAAGGAGAATGGGCCAGGAGGATATCTTAGGTACAGGAGTCAGGAGAGACTTTTTTTGAAGGCGACATCTGAGCAGAAACCTACATGAATAAGAGGGGCCCTATAGCTATAAGGAAGAGAGGAAAGAGAGTTCTGGGTAGAGGGAATGTTAGGTCCAATGTTCCCAGGTCAAGAGAATATTTAGTGCTTTATAAACAGGTTAAGGGAGACAAAATATTCTGAAATAATGATAACACAAAAGAGACTAGCATTGCATTCAGGGAGATACAAATTGATAAAGGGAAAATTTTTTTGGATAAGGGGGTTTTTGAGGTAGAATTTTTGTAGGCGATGTAGGTAAGTAAGAGTGATGATCTGGATAGTCTAAGAGAAAAAAAATCTTTAGAATAACCCATGGAGACCGGAGAATATTATCTTTGGAAAAAACAAACAAACAAAAAAAAAAAACCAGAAAAACAGCAGAAATTAGGAAGACGTGAAAGCTAAATGAACATAAGTAGGATTGAAAGCATTTTAGGTTTGAATCCTTGGATTATAATTTTATATTTCTTGTAGTAAATATAGGTTCAAGAAGTATTTTCAAAAACACTTTGACTTGGTTAGAGCTAGATTTAAAAAAATAGATGAGTTTGGTCATGCTGTATAGACTGTTTTGGATAGAAGGGTGGTTATCCAACAGACCACACTTGGGGACCCTGTAGATTATGCCAAACATGTACTAAACACTACTGGGATAGTGGCTGTAAAATTCACACTCTGTTGTTAGTACAAATAATATCTGTGCCTTTGTCCGGGTTATAGTAAAACACTTCCAGAAAGCTGTGCAGATGGTCTACCTGACAATGTCACAACACCACAGATCATTTGGTCCTATCTATTTTTATTTCTTTCAGAGTAGAAATATGTGCTGTCATTGCCCTATAAACTTTCTAAGTGTATTATTTATATTTAACCCATTTTAAGTAAAACACCTAATTTATGATGAATGTTACAGTAAAATTTCATATAAGCATGACATTTTATTAATAGCTTTCTTCCTAAGCCCCCTTGGAAAAGAAAAAATAAGTGCTAATATCCTGCTGTGAGTCTTTGGGATTTTCCAAAGAATAAGTAATATTCTTGCTTTTCCTTTAGGAGACTCATGTTATTTAATGTTTTAAACACATGTAATTACTGGAGAAAGAATCTTCCCACTTAATGATTTTCTGGACCAAAAGCACACAAAGTCTGCATATGACTATACTGAGGTATTGGAAAATAGAATATAACCTTTACACTCAAGCCTAGCTTTCTTGTCCAATGTTTTCATCTCCATTTCTAGGAACTAAATTTTAATATCAACAAAATTAGATTATATATCCCATAGCAATTTTTCACCAAGTATCACACAAAACATTGTTTTAATTCCAAGTCTCTTTTGAACCAGTATTTTCAGAAAAAGCTCACATTTTTTTGTGTATATTATATTGAAGTCTCCTTCGAAATCTACAGACAAGCAGATGCGTATGGGCAAATTTCACAGTTTTTGTTTGTGACTTTACAAGGAGCTGCAGTGTACATGGAAACAGCATTTGATGTGGTGAGAGACAGTAAGGGGGCACAGTTAATGTTCCAGCCTTGAAGCCACACGATTTGCAATGTGAATTGAATCCAATTTTTTAACTTCTGCTGCTAACTTCATTTCCTATTTGTGGGTTTATTGTTTTCTGTCTCATCATCCACAATTAATATGAAGCTCTAATCTGTAACTTATTTGTAAAACATTGATATTAAGACTAGTCATAAGGAAAAGAGAAGCAAGAAAGGGTCTACGAAATCACTGTCTACTCACGAATAGCTTAAAGATTATGGGCACTAAGTATTGGAACCAAATACTTTGATCAGTTTTTTAACACTAAACCTAAATGTCTCTACCTATATTGCTGTTTATCAGAGGAGGACATAACACATAGATCCTAAAGTAGAAACACTGAAGAATTACTCAACCCTTATGTCAAGTGCATTACATGCATCCTTTTGTGTAATCCCCCAACAATGCTATGAGAGGTATTATTATTATTATCTCCATTTTACAGAGATGGAATTTGAGGCTTAAGGAGGTTAAATAACATGTACTAGACAACAGCAAATTAAGTGCCTATCTAGAATTCAGAATTGGAAAGTCTGATTGCAGAGTCCCAATTTTTAACTGGATGTGGACAAAAGAAGAGTAGAAAAACAAGCAAAAAATTTTTTTTGCTGTTTAATTTAATTGCTTTTGAGATCAAATGATATGGAATGAGTTTATTTCCTTGAGGGTTTTGATAGAGAAAGTGATGAAAACTGGGCAATAGAATTTTGGCTCATTTGACAGCATGTACATATTTTGATAAATCTGTTTGCATGACAATTCTATTTCGTTAAACATCTTGGGCTTTTTGCTGGGTTAATTCATAAAAATGAGGCAATAATGCCCAGCTGAAACAGTGTAGCCATGCAAAGGATAATGGAAACACACACACACACACACACACACACACACATCGATTTAAAATTAACTTTGCACTACATATACCAGGCATTGGAAACAAACAATGTATAGTCATTACCTTCAGGGTGCTGGTATTAACCTCAACACATACATTTTGGAAAGTGCTGCCCACAGGTTTGAGATACAAGAGAGCATACAAAACACTGTGTTCTGTAAATTACAATGGACACAATTAACTAATTATCTGATTTCTTTATCAAAGGGTTAGTTTTGTAATTATTATGGTCGTATCTTACATCAAGCTATGGTAATTGTGTAGTCTCATGAAAATTAAGGGCTTCATCTAAGTATATTTATTGATGTTAGAATAGAGAGCATGTTTTTCCATATTCTCCAGAAACTCCAGATAAGTTTGAAAAGCTGTAAGTGGTTGAATTAGATAGACTTGGTTAAATGTTACCAACTATTCCATACATTATTTAGAATAACATTTTACTTTCCTGGAGGTATTATCAAAATACTGGATCTCAGCCTGCTGTGGTTGTGCATGCCTGTAAACACAGAAGGATGGTGGGCTGAGGCAGGAAGATCTAGCTAAGTAACAGGCCAACCTAGGTTAACATAATGAGATCTTTTCCAAGCCCCATCCTCATATACAAGATTCGGCAACATATTACCTAAAATTTCTTTTTCTTTTTTTTAAAAGGAAAAGTACCAAGATAGACTGAATTCCAAAATTATGTCAGGAAATATGGTATTGAATTATTTCTAAGTGGACGGTCATGTTTAAGAAATTTTAAAAACACTCGGATCTGATATGGTTGCACCTTAGGTTTCTCATTTACTGTTATTAGCAGGTAATTATTACTTCGGGGCAATTGAATTTCCACCTTAATTTTAGAAAGTAAAGCACATATGAGATTGAGAGATATGAAACCTCATTAAAATACAGTCATCTAATATCTAGTTCCTGTGTCAATGATTTCTCATAGTGTTTTCCAACTCTTCGAGTTTTCTTTTTTGGGTTATGATTATCACACATTTCAGTCAATTAATTTAATGGTCGTGTGGGCAGGGCCCTGCCCCCAACTCACATTATAAAAATCGCAGAGGGTAGTAGGACTTGGACGTTGGTGCGAACAACGTGCTGTAGGGTTTACACCCACTACAAAACCCAGCGAGGGTCAGCTCTGAGGAGTTTATAAAATCACCTGGCTAACTGCTGCAGCTGTAGGAACAGTGGGAGGGGAGGGCCAGTGCAGTGCACTGGAGACTAAAAGGGGCTTGGCCAAGGCTTCAGTTCAGAGACCACTGGGGCTGGAGCCAATCGAGCAGGGGAGTTTGGAACTAGCGGTCTGCCAGAAACCGGAGGGGGTGAGAGACTCCTGGCTAGGATGTCGCCTCTAACTCTGGGGTCTCCGAGAGGAAAACTCTCAGGAGGGGCCCCAGAGCCCGGGAGATTGAGAACTCAGCTCCTGCGAGGCCTCGGGGCTTCTCGGAGGTGCCCGTCCCTGTCCCTGGGCCACCAGCTTCTCCCAGCGAGCGTTGGGCAAACGTCACGCGTGACGCCCGTGGCCTTCACCCCTCCTGCAGCCGTGGGCACTGCGGACCGAGGACTGGCAGCCGCCTTGGGCTGAGGGAGCGGGGAGGGCGGGACCCCTCCGCCTCCG